ATAACTGCTTATCAAAATTTCATAAAAATTGTTTAATTTAATTTTATGAATTAATGGAATTAAAAATAGATAGTTGTTGAGATATTATTGCTCAAAGTCCAAAAAATTTAGATAATTATCAAAAACTATAGTCAAGTTTTTTTCAAACTTTAAGTAATGATAACTTGATAATTACCTATCTAAAATTAATAATTTTTTTTAATTTTATAGAGTTGTAAAATTAACAATAAATACTTTTATTGAATTTAGACAAATATTTATTGAGTTATCATCACTAAAAGTTCAAAAAATTTAGACAATTATTAAAACAAACTATGGCTATTTTTTTTCAAATTTTGAGCAATTATATATTAATAATTATATATTTAAAATTGGTGAATTTTTTTATTTTAATTTTATAGATTTATAAAATTAAAATTAAAAAAATTTTATTAACTAAAGTAAATAGTTATTAAGATATTTTTCCTCAAAGTTAAAAAAATTCATTGTGGCTAGAGTACTTAGACAATTATTACATAATAATTTGCAATATAAGGTAAATAGGAGTATTGTGGCCAGGTTAAAGTTTCTACTAATAAAATTTTTTTAATAAATATATAAAATTTTTTATACCAAATTATTATTTAAACTATACCCAATAAAAAAGAAAATACTGTAAAAAAGACCTTCATACCATATATGTTCTTAGACAAAATGATTAGTACACAAAAAGAACATAAAAACTGAATTTTCAGTAAGTAGGGGTATTGTAGCCAATTATTTGACAGTGAATAGTTTTTGATTTACTGGTCCATTTTGGATGATTTTACCACAAAAATGACCGTTGCAATGAGACGATTTTAACAAGCACAAAATCATCAAAATCTAATCATGGGATCCTGAGAGTATTAAAGATTTATATGTAAAAATTTGCAGATTTACTAATATATACAAATATATGCAAAAATTTATATTTTGCATAAATGATGATATCTTGTGATCTAGTGGTTGGAATTGGATGAATTTTATACCATTCAATTCGCCTCGATAAGTCAAATCGAATAGTATAAAATTTATCCAATTCTGATTACTAGATAACAATATATACCACTTAGCCACAATACCCCATTTACCTTATATAACTAAATACAGAATTTTCAAATATATAGAAAATATGGAATATAAAACATGGATTAACTTTTTTTATAAAGTAGACATATAATAAAATAGTAAGTGCAAATATTTATTTATTATTAAATAATATAAAATAATTTTCAAGTTGCTTATTAATATTGAAAGAGATCAGAATTAAAGATAAACATAATACACTTGTTTATTATCAAAATCTTAAAGATAGATAATATAAATAGAATATTTGGCTTTATTAAAATTTATTAAAATATAAACTATAAAGTTAAAATATTGAATTTTTTTAAAAAATTGTCAATCTTTCTGTTTTCTATTAATAGTAATATATTTAATTATAGATTTATTAATAGATTTAGAATTCACTTAGATTAGAATAAAATAATTATGCTAAAAATCTCAACTATAACTTTAAAATTCTGAATCAACTTAAATTTCATTTCTACTTATAACAAATATAATATTTGGATATTTGATTCTAAAGAATTGAATAAATATTAAGATATTTGAAAAGATCTGCTAATGTATAAAATATATATAGTCTGTTATTTAATATAAAACATTATTATTATCAAGAGTAAATTAAATTAAAAGATATACTAACTTTTATTCTAACTAGGTAAGTACTATATCATAATTGTTTATTACTAATCTTTGCTAATTTATAATATTTGATGATTTAGTCTTATATTTAAGTTTATTTTATTTTTTTTTAATATTTAGAGTGTAGCTCCTGCCTCAGACTTTTATTAATACTTAATTGCTGATCCGGCTAAGATCGGCACTATTTACTATATTAATTTATTATAAATGTGAGTGATAAGTTTCATAATAAAACTCAAATACATGTTTGAATCTGAACACCTTGTTTTTAAAATGACAAAAAAAATATGTCAAATGGCTACTACACTTGTAGAAACTGGTATTATTAATGAAATTTATCATTATGGACCTTTCTCATGATATTGGTGGCGAGAAAATCCTACAAATAAAAAAAACTATACATTTTTTCCAATTCGTATTGGACAAAAAACTATTACTATTCTTAACAAACAGAAATTTATAGTTATAGTAGTTGCTGGCAATTCTATTACTTCCTTTTTACCTAATTATCAATGCTCTTGTAATGATATTTTATCAGAAATAGTTGCTGATCTAACCACGGCTATTTCTACAGTATATAAAAATTTATTCAAAACTAAAACATGTTATTCAGGACCTCTTGTAATTGGCTGGTCTAATGAAAAAATTATATCCCAACTTTTATTTGATATTAAATTTTGTCTATTTTCATTTTTTTTAAATAACAAAAATGAAATTTTTGTATTTAGAATTGGTTCATCATCATGTAAAGAGCTAAAAAAAGGTGGATCTGATTATAAGTCATCATTAATTTGTGAATATTATTCTAAAAAAACATTATTTGTTTCAATTATAGATGATTTTAATTGTTTTCTTGAAATATATCAAGATTTTCAATTGATAAAACAAATTAAAGGTCAAACACCTGATGAAGTTTGGTATCCAATTAGAATAAAAAATTTTAATGGTACACAACTTTTCGGTTTAGAAAACCCTACAACTCAATTATATCTCCAACAACAACATGTTCCTACATGTACTCCTATTGATTGGTATAATTATAATTTAATGGAAACACTTTTTAATTATCATCTCAAATGGAGAACAATTGCAGATATTACATGGTATCAGTTTTTTATTAATTGGGCTAAAAACGAAAGCAAGATAATAGAGTTAGTTACTAGCTTACAAGAAATCTATCCAGCACATTATCATTTTAATAAAAGAGAATTTAATGCTTGGCAAGCTTTAATTTGGGCTGCTGGTGGACATAATATAACACCATGGTCACACGATGAATCAGAGGTTTGAATATTTACTATTTAAAAAATTTTTATTCGAATTATAGCAATATTAATTTTTATCAGTTTCAGATTTGGACACACACTAATCCACCAAACAAAGATAAAGAAATAATGCAAACCTTGTTTAAAATAGAATTTTTAATACCAGTTCCAAAATATATACCTAATAGTATACAAACATTTTGGACATGTTTTCAACGTGCACTTTCTTATAATAAAAAAAATCAAGATGGCAAAAGGCGTATACTTTCAATTATTGCAAATGATTTTACATATTCTGAATTAGAGTCTAATTTAAATATAAGAAAGTTTAAATTAATTATAAAATTAATATTAATAAATATTAACAAATTTTAATTTAATTTATAATAATAAGGTTGGATGACATACAATTTATGAATCTGAAAACATGCAATAATTAATGGATATGGTGCACCTCCACTTTCCAAACCAATTAGTCATTGTGTTTGATTTTCACAAGAAAGTTTAATACAATTTGATCAATTTTTTATACATAAAGATAATATTTTACAAAGTAGTTACAAGACTGATACTTTAACTAGCTTGTCTGTAGTATATCTGCGCGATACAAAAAAAGGTTTGTGAGAAAAATTTCATGAAGAATTTTCAAATGGAATGAAACGGACAACATTTATGACACGTTTAGGAAGTAGGTGATTTTTATATAAAGAAAATATGGGTGGATCTTGTAGTACATGTAATGAATGCGGTTATGAAGTATTTGATGATATTAGATTATTAATTGATAAAGATATAACAAATATAACTGATAAGGTATAGCTACATATAATTTTATTTTTCTTTCTATATTTTGTTTAATCGCTTAATTTACATTAATAGTATAAATTAACTATTTAAAAAACAGAAAGAATTAATTAAAACAATGGAATATTTACAATGATATCTGTGAAAAGATTATGCTAAAGCTCTTTAGTAGACAAGCAAGATGTTCCGATTCACAATTTGTGTATTAGCTATTGTCTTGCACATGGGTTTGGAAATTGTAATCATTTACATCCTAATATATGTAACAAATGTGAAAATCTTTTTGAATTCTTTAATCAATTACAAAAAAAACTAGAAATTAATTAATATGAATTTTTAAAGAACTATCAAAATCGCTTAATAGCCTTTATAGCTCATCATGCACGTAGAACTTACTTGAATACACAACTAGCTGCTAAACTTGAATTCTTAGATTATAATGGAGCTCTAATTCTTGTAGATTTCAAAATACAAATTAATTCTCAAAGTGCTAATGAAACTAAGGAAGATTTTTTTGGAAAACGAGAATGGACCTTACATACTGTTCTTGTATATCAAAAAAGTTACATAGAAGAAAAATTAAATATACAAGCATTTGACTATTGGTCAGATAATACCCATCAAGATGCATAGTTTGCAGCTTCGTCACTTCATACAGTTATAGAAATTATTGATCCAAAACCACAATGGATAACGATAGTATCAGACAATAGTCCACATTATGGAAATACTGAATTAATTTAATTATGAGCTATTGGAAGGAATGGTATAATATTAGCTCTCGAAAATAGATTTTCCTTGAGGCCAGAGAAGTCAAATCTATAATTGACTTACATCATGCACAAGTTGGCTATAGTCAAATTTATATTTATATATATACCATATAATATAATCTAATCATATTAATATTTTAGATTACATATTCAATAAAAAGAAAAGTCAAGTTAGGGTATGATATCAAATCAGGGAAAGATATAGAAAATGCAATAAAAAATTTATCAAAAATGCATGTAGCTAATCTTGAACCAAATTGTAATTTAGGTAATATTATATAAGGTTGCAATTACATAAATTCTAGTTAAAATTAACAATTCAACATATTGAATTTTTAAAATATTAATTTATTCTAAATTATATTTAGACAAAAAAAAATTAGGTACACTTTCGGGAATCTCAACATGGTATGAATTTACATGGCCTGAAATGGGAGATAATGCAGGATATATTTGTGCACGATCCTTACTAGGATTTGGACCTTTATATAAATTTAGTCCTTCACAGTTACAAAAAATTACAAAGGATTATGTTTTTGAAAAACCAAATCCATCTTCAACTATTTACACACAACCAACAAAAACTTGGGCCGCTTTTCATTCTTCTATTCAAGGTGTATTATATATAATTCTTTATATATTTTTAATATAATATAACTTGCACTGCTATATCTATAACAATCTTTTTTAGAAAATAAAAAAGAATTGATTAGTCAAGAAGAGGTAAGACTTGTTATTATTTTATACATCATTCAACTAGTTAACACTTAGCTAACAAATACAATTTATATTAAAAGTGTAAATAGCAACAATAATTCAATTTTAATAAATCCAGCAGATATAACAGACATGGAATTAGATAATTCATCTAGAAGGTACATATTAACTATCCTTTTGCGGTTTATTTTTTATTTTTTTTGAAATTTGGCTAGTATTTATTGTATTGGATTATATTTTTTAATTTTTAATGTTTTTATTTTAGTCACACAGTATTTGTTCCAGGTTGGGCACTACAAGAAAATCTCAAAGTTAATCAAAAAAATCCAGTAAAATAACTAACTGAAAAAGTAAAGGAATTACTAGGGGTTATGTTTTATTCTGGAGCAACCAATGCAAAACTAAAAATTGCAACAAAAATGCATGTAGAATTATTACGACATGCACAACTTGGAGAAATTGAATACCAAGATGTGCCTAAGGTGTCCACTATAGCTAATTGGATTAAAAAAACATCTCGGGCTATAAAACAGAGTATAGTGTTGCAATTTTTGAAAAAAACTGATGAATGATTATAAAATTCTTGAAGTATATACTGTTAAATATGAATGTGACACTTAGTTATGATACACTATTAATAGCGGTTCATAAATATTAATTCGATTTATTTTTTTTTTGCAGCAAAATACAAGAACATATGGCATTCGGTATTACCTAGGTTTTTTAAAATTTGGACATTTTTAAAAAAATTAAATGTATAGAAGAGGCATAATCTAAATCTAATTGGGGTCAGAAAAAAATGAACATAAGTATTCATTAACTTGTTGAAAGACATCAGTAGAATTGGAGCTGAAAAAAATGTGCATAATGCATTTCCTGTTTGATGAAATAAGAATCTTAATAGGATAGGAGTCGAAAAAATAAGCACTTGTAAAGATGAATTGATATATAGCATTTGTTGATTTGTCCAAATAAATTTATTACTAAATCATTAAAATTTGCTAAAGTGGAAAATTGGAGTTGAAAGAGTAATATAGGCATCTGAAACTCAATATATATATATATATATTAATAAGTTCTGAAATTTAGCTACCAAATAATGTATTAACCAGCTATGCTAAGTCTACAAAAAGTGGTTTGAACCTCTAGTCTATATTGACAGCACGTTTAATTCATCTTTTCTATCAGTTAACCTACACTTATATAGACATGAACATTTGTATATAATGCAACAATCTGAGGATATTAATTAGTAGTCAAGTTTTTCAAATTTTGAAGTATTTCATAAATTTACCTTATTATAATTATCCACCACAAAACTTTGGTTCAGCGATTTATTATTGGCTAAAATTAGCTGGAATTTTTTAGTATAGTATTATTCATGAATTTGGGCTGATCTTCGTGATTAGATTTTGTTTCTTCTAATATCCCTTTTGGCATTTTAGTTTTCATACAAAAATTAAAAATCGGGCATCACATTTATTAATCGAAATTGGGGTCAAGGACAAATTAATGCTTTTATTAATATGTTAAATAGAAGACACCAGTGGAATGGATTTAACATAAAGCATTCAATAAATAGGAAATATTTGTGAAATTGGAATCAAATCTAAGATACAATAAATATTACATATATTAAATGTGAACTTTATTAGATATAATATAGCGAATATTGATACAAATTATAGCCAATCGAATATATCAAAGATACCAGCACTAACTTATATAATATCAACTAATCTCTAAACGAAGTTCTAATAAATACTTCCTAAGTGTAAAGCCTTTTTTGAAGTATATAAATTAGTATTATTCAGGGTTTCTTAATATTCGCATAATTGCTAGTAACCATAGCTTAGCTAATTTTTTCCTTACGTTCTTTGTATACAATTTCTCGCTAGATGCAAAATTTCATTCTTTTAATAAAAAACTCAGATCGTACGTCGACTATATATAGAATTTTTAAAATTTAATCTAGAGTTCATAGTAAATGTGAGTAACCAACTACGAAAAGAAAAAAAAATTACATGCGCAAAAGTTCTTTGACTAAATTGATGTGGTAACATTTCTAGGAAGGCACAAATATAGGTAGTATAAAACATATTAGTTATGCCAATAAAGTTCGAATAAATAGCAAAGTTAAAATTTGTACGAGTTAAAAAATATTTGTAGGATATAGGATGAAAGCACTAATAGTCTTACCTAAAAACCGTGATTCAGCCATATTATCTATGATCTTTTTAGATTGAACGAAAGTTAAATTTTTGTACGAGTAATAAATGTAGTATAGACTGTACAATTGAGAAGGAATTGTAAGTCTTACTACGATTCGGTCATAGTAAATCTACGATCTGTCTATACTGAACGTGTTTAATGATAAAATAAATCTACCTTTTTTTTTATATAGTGTTAAACGGCAAGCTTTATTCTATAACTTCATAATATTAAAATGTAAGTATCGCTTAATTTTTTGTGTATATTTCCTTTTAAATTCTGGTGTATTTTTTTAATTCTTAAGAGATCATCCCCCAATTTTCTATATCAAATTGGTGCCGATCTTAGCCGGATTAGCAATTAAGTAAATTGACATATGATGGTGCCGTAAATACATACATATTATATATCAGAACTAGGACTAGGACATCAAGTACTAAGACTATTTATCCACAGCTAAAACTCACTAGAGCCGTCAACATTCTCACACATGTGATTGACCTGGATTTTATACATCTCTCCCCAACTGCCAATCAGTATTCACATGTCCGCCACATTACTCACAAACTATTTATCTTCAACTTCCAAATTGGTGTGTACCAGGTAGGCGCTTATTGCTTCTGGTTTGGTGTGCCTATAAGCGGGTTTTCTCCCTTAATCCCTACTTAGTGTACTTCCAGAAGTTCATAGCCATGTAGCTGCCTCTACCTGAACAGATAAGTATCTCAAGCCTGCATGCTGCCATAACTAGCTGGTTTCCTGTGACTTTCAGGACCTAGGTCTTAACATATCCAATTAGGTCTGTGCTAACAACTATACTTCCCAATATGGTGACAAGGATGCCCAGGCATGTTTCGCAAATACTTTCAGTAGTCAGTATAGTTGGATAGCATCATGAGGCTCAAAGGTAACAGATGCGTCATCATTTCTTTTTATAGTGATTCTCGGTAGTTGTAGCCTCCAGTTACCGCTGCATACATTTATACCAGCTATACCTATATTGGTAGTCCCGAGTCCTTTTAACACCAAAGCTTCCATATGGGTACGACCAGAGCCTGTTAGGTTTATCAACACATACAGCCTCTATGCTTCAACTTCTTATTGGCCGATGAGTTCCGTATGTGCTAGAGGTGTTCCAAATCTGGTAAGGCCAATTCTTTACCACAGGTCCCTTTGTGTTCACCACATTTCTCACCACTTTCCAATTCTGGTTACCGCCCAGTTATCCTCCCAAACAAGATCCCCAATGCTGCCTTAGGGATTGTTGGTACTACCTTGCCAATCGCAGATTTATATGCACAACCTTTGTATAATAGAACCTTCTATAACAACTACTGTTACACATAGTTCCAACTACTCCACAATGGACCTTCTTTCGGAAATTTCTAATCCAGACCTGTATTCACTTGGACTTTCCACAGCAGATACTTTCAAATATTTGTAAATAAATATACCTACTAGGACTTAAACCCGAAACCCACTCGTGGAGAGTTGGGTGCCTAGGCCACTAGGCCACGGGATCCCAACCCACATTTTATATTTAAGTTAATTTAATGGTGTGCTATTATCATATAATATTTTTTACTTAATAGCCACTCTCATCTATATATAGTATAATTACCTTATCTTAATTCTAATTGGTTGATATAATAACAAATATTTTAGGTTAATTTTTAGTATAACTGGGCAATAAGAATTATTATATATAAACATAGTATTTGAACTAATTTAAGCAAATTTGAGACTAGTTAGGGTTAGTTAAGAGTTATAGTAAAGTTTATAGTTAGCTCTAGAGTTAGGGTTAGAGTTTTTTTATATTAGAATTTTATAATATTTTTATATTGTCTAGCTATACTAAAGAAGATCCATATTTTATAATATTATATATACTATATAAATATAATTTTAATATTAATCCAAAGGCCTAATTCTTTCGCATACTAAACCAATCTTATTTCTAAAACTTACAAACCTTGGGTTTTAACTTATTACAATGAGCATATTATAATAGGCTAAGTTTATAGGACCTTTATACAAACAACTACTATTTTTATAATATATTGGCAACACAATATCAATACTTCTATTTCTAACTATTACCCACTACCTCCTATTTCTTGCACACTTTGTCAAGGCTGTAGCCTTAACTTCAAATATATTTCTAGCTACTATACCCTAGAAGTATTAGCTATTCTTTCTACCTAGTTCTTGAGAAGAAAAAGAGCTAACAAACAACTTAATCTTAATGCAAATTATATTAACCTTATCTATTTTACCAATATCAAACACCCTATAGAACCACCACCACCTTCAATTAATATTATCAACTCCTTATATCTAGCATCTTTCACAACAATGAAGCCTTTCTTCAGCTTACCCAGTTCATGCTAGCTAACTTATCTCAATATCAATTTACTTTCTATACAGATAGATATGTTAAACAACTTAGTACCAACCAATACTCTATGGGTATTGGCTAGGTCCAAATTCACAACAACTTAGTTATACAAAATTTTTTTGCCCAAATTTCTAATTGGCTCTTTTTCTACAAAGCTGAACTATTAGCAATATTGTTTGTTATCTCTACTATTCCACAAAATTCTAGTCTACAAATCTATACTGACTTACAGTCAATTATATTCAAGTATAACAAACCCTTTACCTTGTCTTTTTACTCTACAAAATACTTCAAATTTAATTTTTGGCCAATTTGGCACATACTTCTTAATATTCTAAAAGCCTTTAGCTAGTGTTTCTATGAACCGAACTGAAACCGAACTTTGGTCAAGTTCAGGTTCAGGTTCAGTTCAATCATGTTCAATATTGAACCTT